ACAAAAATGGAGGCTGTGGCCGTGGATATGCGGTGATGGACAAAATCCGAGACGGTGATCGTGGACAAAGAAGGCGACGGTTATTGTCCATAAGGACTACACGTACATTTGGATTATGATATCTTGTTCTATTTTTAAAGTGGACATAAAGATTACCTAATTTCAGTCACATGGACGATAAATAATAGGTAGAGACCGAATCAGGTTTTGAAAGTATTATTATATTCTCGTCCACCAAAATTTCAAACTCTTAATGCTCCAACAATTGTCATTGCCCGCTAAATTCTTTGACTTTGTCTGTTATTCTCGTCCACCAAATAAATCTACCATAACATATCACCATTTAATGTTAAGAATAAAAGTGTGTGGACATAAAGATTATCTAATTTTTACACACATTCTCTCTTTCTTACTTTTTCACAAACTCTCTCTCTCTTTCAATTGTTGCATACATAGCTATTGACCGTCACTGGGATTTGGCCGTGTTCATTCGGCTGTATATTGTCCATAATAACATATGTTCGAATTGTCCATTCGGCTGTGTTTTTTTACTAAACGTACATTCGGATGATGATATCTTCTTCTATTTCTGAAGTGGACATAAAAATTACTTTATTTCAGTCACATGGACGATAAATAATAGGTAGAGACCAAATCAGGTTTTGAAAGTCTTATGATATTCTCGTCCATCAAAATTTCAAACTCTTAATGTTTCAACAGTTGTCCTTGTCCATCAAATTCTCTGACTTTGTCCNCTNTTCTCGTCCACNAATTAAANATATTCACGTCCACNAANTTTCCAAAAATGCCATTATGGAAAAAGTCTTTCCAAATCTACCACATTTTGGTACTGTTCACACAACAGAAAATTCGATAATGCCTTTACTGAAGAGAGTGTGTCTTGCCTTTGTTTATAATTATTTACATTTAAATTAATATTTTATTAAATAAATTATATTAATGAAGCTGTCTGCGATATTCGTTTTTGTCCACCGTCTTCGTCTTGTCTAAGACCGTCGACGATCACCGTCGCCTTTTTTTGTCCACGATCACCGTCTCAGATTTCGTCCACCACCGCCTATCCACGGCCACAACCTCCATTTTTGTCCATCACCATCACCAAACACCGTTATAGTTTGGTCCACAATATTTTCATCTTGTCCACTACTATCACTAACCACAATTATTTTTTTGTCTATGATGTTTCTGTCATGTTCACCACCATCTCA